ACTTCTACTCGAAATGGAAGTAAGCTCAACAATTATGAAACAAGAGATTCCTCGAAGCCCAACTTTTCTTGTATAAACCCCTTCTATGCAGCGAAAGGAAACTAGAACCAGAATATGTCACACCACCTTGCTCTTCGTATATGTGATCTACATATAGTTTAGAAACACTTAATCGGTATACAACTCTACAAAGTAAATGTTTTGCTATCCTATTAATGAGAAAGTTAGATAAAAACCGACTAACATTTTCGTCAAGCATGTTTAATTTTCAATAACATCTGGACATTATATATAGCTCTATTGATGAAAGGTATTTCACTCGACCCCTTCCACTTTATCTGTACTACCCGAAACGTTATTTACCACACTTCCTCAAGCCTTTGATGGCCCCTAAAAATCAGGATTTTCAAGCTGGATGGAAGCATAACTTGTAGCTAAAGATCCTGAATAATTCTCATGGTCAAGCCCTCGCTCCATGAACCACGTCTATGACCAAACACGTCTACTGTTAGCCAACTAGCTATAGTCTCCGAAGAATTTATCGTGCTTCTATGCATAGTGTCAAGTCTATGATTTCCTATTCCCTAGTCCCCTGTGTGTCGGCCCACAAACGTTGTGGTTCTACTTGTTTTGATTAGGTTCAATGTGGTTTAGACGTGGTTTATGGGGCGAGGGCTTGACCATGAGAATTATTCAGGATCTTTAGCCTCAAGTTATGCTCCCATCCAGCTTGAGAATTTTGATTTTGAGGGGCCACCGAGGACTTGAGAAAGTGTGATAAATAACGTTTCGGGTAGTACAGATAGAGTGGGAGGGGTCGAGTGAAATACCTGAACCAAGAAGGTAAGAGGCGGATCCTACGGGGCAAGAGGGGGACTCTGATAAAACCTATGTGAAGATGATTGCAGAATAATATGGCAGACTCTGATCTACACTCCAAGCACAAAAGTTAATAAATAAATAAGCAATGAAGAAATTGTGATAGTGAAGGGGTGATACGAGGATATAGGGTTGGTGAATGGCTCATGGCAGAAAGAAAAATACCACAATTGATTAGCAGACAATTTGTCAAAGGATGAGCTTCACTTGTCTTTGACCAGTTGTAGTGTGGTGCTAAGAATGATAATGTTCACTTGTGATGCCATTGAAAGTTCTGGGAATGTACCAGGTCCACGATCCCACTCTGGATATTATCATACATACTATGGATTCCGGACTAGGTGCGTATCTCTATGTCTTCTTACCAATACGACAAAGTTGCTAAAACAAGGTCAAACAGCTTCCATACAACGAAATGAGACAGCGACTATACAAAAGGCCACACCATCTTGGTATTTATACCTTCGATTACATATATATATATATATATTGCTATCTATAAATGTGTATCTTCTAGCTCGCCTTTCGCTAAATATATCCTGACTACTTTTACTAGGTATTAATTCGAAATATATATATAACATATTAACATCTACAAACGAAATAAGAGGCAGGGTGAGTAACCGCGATATCTCAAACTCTTAAGTTGAGGCGTCCACAGTGGAAATTTATTTATTTATTAAAGCATATCATCCAAAAGTTGACTGTAATCTTACCCTCATTGGCTTCGTTTCAAAGGTCTTCATCTAGAGGTAAGCCTATTAACACTCCAACACATGATGCCAAGCCTGAGGGTGCGAAATGATTTCAAGGCTAATCAAATCTCTAAACTCTAAGTTAGGATGGAAGCTAATGGAGATAAGGCTACTAGACATTTTAAAATGAGACAGGAAGGTTACGAAATCTAGATCCAAACAATTAACATGTGGAAAATTCGAACATAGGGCTTATATTTTTTAGAGTTGCTGTGTCTCGGGGGCCTGATCAAAGTTTGCCTTGGATGAGAAAATGTTTTAAAAGAAATCACTAGAATCAGACTGTTAGTCAACGAATTGGCAAACATTTCCAACTCGAGAGTATATGCCTCTAGAAGATAGTAGCTAAAGTTATGAAAGCAAAAAATTGAATTGCGAATAGATAGGAACAACATGTGGTTCACCTGATCCACTCCAAGGAAGTGTAGGCACATCGGCACTTTGAGCCAGAATCGTAGATGCTATCTTGTCGCCCAAGGCCCACATAGCAGCATGGGAAGGACCTAAAACAATAGAGAAAGAGAAAATGTAGAAAGCGTAAGCAAAAGGAATCACAATATTATCAAGGCAGTAAATGATCGGGCAACATTTCTGGCTTAATTTGAATATGGGCACAAAATAAGACTTTATATATCGAGGTAGAAAGGCCAAGATGGTGTGGCCTTTTGTTTGTGCTTAATTACTTAAATACGAAAAATTAATTAATAGATTCAATAATAGAGGGAGTTGAGCCGCCTGCAAAAAGGAGGTGACGCAACTTACAGGCTTCAAAGTTGACATACGACCGTAACTAAACAAATAACTTTATACCTGATGAAAAAGGCCAGATATATCGCTTTTTAGGGATTTGCCGGTGAGTTTTGTTGACTCGTTAGCTTGAATTAGATTGTGACGATGATACCTTGCTCTTATGATGTTCATCATCAAACACTTTCACTCGAAATGGAAGTAAGCTCAACAATTACGAAACAAGATATTCCTCGAAACCCTAATCTTCTTCAGATAGACAAATAAAGACGATTGCATAAATGGAGAATGGGCCTTAAGTGGACTTGTCTCCGTGTAAATCTAGTCGCGAAAATGCTTACATCTAAAGATACAACCAATATATTCTGTCTTTGAGCAATCAATAGTATTTTATGTGGGAAACGGTGACAAAAGTTTAAAAGGTACGTCATATAAATTAACCAGATATTCGAAGTAAGCAGGTTTCGAAACTCTCATAGAGCATGAATAAGAAGTCTATTAAACCTGGGTCGTATATGATAATGAAGGAGTGATAGCTTAGTTTTCATATAATGATATAATTAGGTCTCATGTTTTCATTAAATTTCACATAGCCTTGCTTCACAAAATGTGCTTTCATCTAAGGCGAAATGAAGTTTTGATCCCGCCTAGGTCTCAGCAGCGCCCGTAGCGGGACTGGAACCCAGGGGGATGATCTGTGTTCAACATATTTCGTTTAAGCTAGTCGATAATTGAAACTATTAATTCACCACCTTAAACGAAAAAGGATAATCACAGCTAAATATCTGATTTACTGGTAGTCTCGAAAACCTACTCAAGACGAATACAACAAAGGAGTGTCGAAAGTTACAAGTCACAGCAAATTCACGACATTACGCCTTCCTAGTTTCGACTAGAAAATCTCTTCGACGACTCAATTCCTCATTAAAAATTATGTGCACTTTAAGGAATACATCACAAACTAATAAATTATAGAAAAGTTGTTTGACCTTGTTTTCACAACTTGGTCATATTGGTAGGAAGACTTAGAGGAACGCACCTAGTTCGGAGTCAATTGTATGTATGACCATCTCCAAAGTCGGACCGTGGACATGGTACTTTCCCAGACGTTTCGCCGGCATCGTAGTCGGCATCGTGAGTGAGTCTCGCCATTCGTAGCACCATAGTACAGCTCGTCAAAGAGACAAGTAAAGCCTATCCTTTGACCAAACGTATGCTAAACAGTTGTGGTATATCCCCTTCTGCCCTGGGCTATTCACATTTCATATATCCTCCTATCACGCCTTCATTGTTACACTTTGTGCCGGTGTGCTCCTTCGAGCGACATTCCTGAAAACCCTCCACACTCCACGCTATCGTTCTCACCCCCTTCACTCTTGTACTGGGAATATTGACCAGAGTCTTCCTCTTGTCAAGTAGAATCCGTCTGCTATCTCCCTGGTACACGTATCTGACTCGACCCCTGCTCCCCCCATCTGTGCTATTCGAGGCGTTATTCGCCCTACACTGCGTCTGGTTGAAGCACAACGTTTGTGGTTCAACATTGAACCTAATCAAAGCAAGCAGTATAACAATATTTGTGGGTTGGCCCACAAGAGACTATGGCATGGCAAGTAATAGACTTGGTATTAGGGATAGAGACAGGATAGACGAGGAGGCGATTGGAGCTAGTTGGCTGACAGTAAGCTTTACAAGAGACGTTGTCCGTGTAGCAAAGGCATGACCATGAGACTTACTCTGAGGATTTGGCCTCTAATTGATCACCCAGATGCAGGGGATGGATGAATTACGCCTCGAGTAGCACAGATAGGGGGGAGCAGGGGTCGAGTGAAATACATGTAACAGGGAGATAGCAGAGTGATTCTACGGGGAAAGGCTTTGATAGGACCCAGGGAAGGAGGACTACGTAACAATATAGCAGACATTTCCAGCACAAGGATGAAGGTGGTGAGTATGATAGCGTGGATGCCGCTCGAAGGAGCACACCAAACTACAACGAAATAAGCACAGTAAAAAGTGTAACAGTGAAGGTGTGATAGGAGGATATAGGAAATGTGAATAGCCCGGTGCAGAAGGGGAGATACCACAACTGTTTTGCACACGTTTGGTCAAAGGATGGGCTTCACTTGCCTCTTTGACGAGCTGTATTATGGTGCTAAGAATAGCGAGACTCACTGACGATGCCGGCGAAACGTATGGGAAAGTACCATGTCCACGGTCTGACTTTGGAAAA